ATCAATATATGATGCAGGTGCAATATAAAAATCTAGCTTTTCCACACTATGCACATGTGCTATGGGTGCTTCCAGGTGTCATCATTGTCATTGTATGTCTGCAGTATTCCTGGATATTAGGAATAAAAAATTGTAAACAGCATTTTTCTAGCCACATTCAGTTATTGTGATTCCTGGAGATCACTGCTATGAAGCTACATACAAAGGGAAGAGACAAGATAGGAGATGATCAGACCAGAGGAAATGCCATGGTCTACCCAGTCCTCCATTATGTTTAGCAAAGCTGCTGAAGATCCTGGAGCCAAACACCATTTGGACACTACAGTAACTACCTGGCTGATTCAGCACCAGAACTAAACAAACTGTTTGTAGGCAACAACATAAAAATTCCAGCCTTTTTTCCTATTCATAGTTTATGTTTAAGCTTTCCATTGTTTCAATTTTTTTTCACTTGCAGGAAATTCACTGCAACCCCTTATTCAGGAATATGCTATTCATTTTATACCTAAGGTATAGGATATTATTTCTACAACCAGAAACTGAAACCGTTCATCAACAGACAGTGGAACTGAAGCAGTCACTTCTAATTGAATCTCTGAGCAAAATCATACTTATACACACACGCATACAAAAACCAGCAGCCAATGTTTGCCTGTGTGCATGGCCTGGGGCAGCAGTTTTCAGTACTGAAACTCAATGAGATAGGACACAAGAGAGAGGAAAACAGACATACCATGAAGTTCTCAGCATGAGCAGAGCATCCTCAGCTAACATTCTAGTGATCAATTCACCCCAAAGGGCTGACATCAAACTTGTGTTAGATTTATTTTAGATTCCAGAACAGCAGCAGTGATCCTAAATTATGTAGATCTACACTGGACTTTAGCACCTGACAGTCATTTGTCAGCTGCAGTCTTGCTCTGCATGTACTCAGTCCCTGCAATATTTTAGCATGTTGCCTTTTGGAAGGATTAGGGTACTGGACGTCCTCTGAGAAAGCCATAGGAAATACATATTGGTCTTGTGGTTAATTTAATGAAGCTCTTGATGTCATTATTATATAGTGGAAATGTAGTCAAACACTTGCTAAGCAGCCAAAATTTAAATAAACTCCCATGTTCTTAAGTGGTCATTTGAGTGTTTGACATAAAATGTACATCTGTGTTTAAGACACGGCATACACACATGAACTTACACATCACTGTGGGTTTTAACATGCTGAAACGATTTGCAACTCTGCTTTAAAGTTATTGGCTTCCAAAACCAGTGATGATAAGTAAAGTGAGATCTGGAACAAATTAATATATTTCCCAATAACCTGCAGGTTTCTTCAGGACTGCTTGTAGCACTTAATCGGCAGCCAAGAGCTCCCCATAACAACAAAATGTAAAAGAAGCAAAAACACTATGAATATTGATAGGGTGCAAAGTCAGACACTTAATATTTAGGAAGCATAAAACTATGATTCCCCACACAATGTTAATTTGAGATCCTCATATACATTTATTCCGATTCAGACTTGATATTCAACTTTTTTCCACAGGATTTGTCTGTGGCTGGGGCAGAATGGCAGACTAGGAAGCAGAAGCAAAGTGCTGCTTTCCAAGTAGGACAGCTGGCTGTAAGGAAATGCCATGACAATGACAGTTTCTCTGCCAGAGAAACAGAGGACTCCAGAGAAAATACAATGACTGACCAAGGTGCTTGTGCAGAGGCATTGGGTGTGCGGGAAACAAGTTATATCCTCAATTTCCCACCTTTTCAGGAGGCAGTTAGGAGCGTATATAACCCAGCTGGATTGCCCAGGAGAGGCATTTTCACCCTGCTGCCTCCTCTTCCCTCTAACCCCACAGCTGGAATTGTCACCCCAGTTGGGGGATAGACAGACCCATGCCTGAAGCTAGCAGACCCTTCAAAACAGAGGCTAACTAGGAACAGATGGCCAGAATTGCTCCAGGAGTGCATACATTTCCTTGGCCATCATCTTCCCAGCCCAGGGATCTGTGGGGAAGTGCCAAGTCGACTGGGCTAGCTCTGCCCCCAGCTGCAGAACAGCGATGGGAAAGGAGATGCTCTCAGCTGAGCACTTTCCAGGAGCTGGGGTACAGACACAGGAAACAGGTATCCCAAGGCAAAGGACCAGTAACAGCCTGCAGAGATCCTCAAATCACTTATAAATTAGCTACTGCAGGGAGGGAGATTTAATCCTGCAGGGGAGGCTTAGACTGGATATTAGGAAAAATTTCTTCATGGAAAGGGTTGTCAGGCACTGGAACAGGCTGCGCAGGGAAGTGTTTGAATCACCATCCCCAGAGGTAATAAAAAGACGTGTAGATATGGCACTTGCAGACATGGTTTAGTGATGGATTTGGCAGTGCTGGGTAAATGGCTTGACTCAAAGATCTTAGAGGTCTTTCTTTTCCAACCTAAATGATTCTATGATCCTATGATTAATGCCATACTGCTCCCAGACTAATGAGCTCTGTTTCTTAACCTTACAATTCTTCTCCCCCTCTGTGTTTTCCTCCATGTGGCTGTTAAATACTGGCCTTTTTTATTGCACCAATTTAAAATTGAGAGAAAAGGCTTTACAATTTGCACCCATTTTATTCTTCTTTTTTTCTTCTTTACAGATGAAAAAAAAAAACCACCGAAAATAAAACCAACAAAAACCCCAAAAAACAACCCCCAAAAAATCAAAACAAACAAACAAAAACCCAAACAAAGCAAATCAACAACAAAGAAAACCGCAAACAACCTCCCCTGAAACAAACAAACAAAAAAACCCCAAAGCCCATCTCTGCCATTCAGTTTGTCCAGTTTTGTACTTGGGCACTACAGCAGTTCACATTAACAGCTGTAATATTTTTTATAGGAGGTAACTGGAAGTTCAGAGACACTGAGCGACCTCTCCATGCAGGAATAAACAAAAACCTTTATTTCCAGCTTCCTATTCTAACAGCAAAGCTGCTCTCCCACACTCCCTACAGTTTACCAAAAATTGTCCCTTCTCTTTGAAATGTTTACTCCAAAATACCACAATGTGTCTTGGATTCCCACAAAGCTCAGAGTAGCAACACAACAGATCCCAAATCTGTCAACACAGCTTCACCTCACTGTTGCTGTAGCTGAGATTTGGATTAAGGCACCTCAAGACTGAGGCACCTCCTGTATGGAGCACCCAGCCACTTGCAAAGGAGGCAACAGTGAGCTACAGGTGACAAACTCATATGGATTTGGGAACATAGAAGGACTAAGCTTTAAAATTACAACCCTGGGAGAGAATAGTGAAAAAAATTAGACTTACCCCATACCTAAAATGTCAGGGTTTTTCTTTCAAAGTCAGACAGAGTCTCATTCAAACAATATTGTTGCTTATGATTCAAATTTTCCACAGCCTCCACATTCCTAAGTACTCATCTGACTTCAGTATTTTTTAATGTAAAGCCAGATTCAAGGCTTCTCAGCAGTGTAGGCAAGAAGCAGTTTTGGATATGGTGGCAGAATGGGTCCAGGACAGGAAGGACAAAAACTGAGGGGCTTTGATATATGCTGAAGAACCAGAACAGCTTTTATTGCTCTGTGAGAAGTGTGGTTCAAGTTCTTTGAGTCTGCTCAGAGCCTGATGCCAGAAAAGCATTTCTTAAAATCTTCCAGTTGCTAAGAAGGAAAGAGAAGATTTCTGCCTCTTAGAAGGGTGTACTTTAAAAGGGGTACACAGAGTGTTTCTCCGTCTTGAAGAGGGTATTTGCCTAAGTGGGACTGTAGAGCACAGGTTTTAATCCCTCACTGTGTTGAATTTCCTGGTCTTTTGCTAAAAGTGGCATCCAAGTAGTTGTGGCATCCACCATCCTAATGCAGGGATGGTGCTGCCACCACCCAGGGTGACACAGGGGTGGCACAGGGGTGACTCAGTCACTCCAGCTTCTCACAGGGTAGGCAATGGAAGGCTCTGCCTCTTGAGGGAATGGCTCACCAATGCCAAATCTGCAAAAGCAGCAATGCCATAGAGTGCTCCTGATCATTGCATTCTGCTCAGAATCTTGGCTTTGGGCTGTGGAGGGGTTTCTGTGTTTTACAACCAAAGTTTTACAACTCAAATTAAATTAGCCAATTCACTTAACAAAAACTGCAAACTCAATCAGCAATTGTTGCTTGTAGTGGATATGCCTTGCCCTAGTGCCCCATCACTCATGTCCTGCAAAACATCATGTGGGAAAGCAGGAAGGAACTTACACTCAAATACTGACTGCTAGACCCTCTGCTGACACCCTAGGGGAGACGGTGGTGTCCCCTGGTTAGCAGAAAAAGCAAACTTAGTCCATTTCCTTTGTCAAATGTGTTAGTAGTCCTGCTGCTGCTCCAGGAAACTCAGGTTTCCAGGATCACTAGAAATTGCTCAATGAATCATCACAGATCTACAAATCCATGGCTGCCTCTGAATAAAGGTGCCCTTCCTGCATCATGTGCATGGGGAACTTCTCCTCAAGAGGCTTGTGCAAGACTCCAAGTCCTTTGCTCACGTCACAGAGGTTTCATGAGGTTAAAAATCAGGTTTTGCTTAGCACTAATATGAGCAAATATTTATCATTCTGAGCTGAACTAACAGGTAACTGTGCCTACCCCAGTTCAACAAGGATTTTAACCCGCTGCCTCCTTAAGGTGAGACATAGGCTTAAACAGCTAGCTGAATAAAAGCCAAAAGGAAGATAGATTGAAAGATTAGGCAGACATATATGATTACATAAAATTTTAAAGTAAACTTCAAAGTTTTTTCCCCTTTAATTCTGATGTTTTATTGGTATTGCTTTCCCAGTAGAATTTCAGTGCAGCTCTCATCTTTACAATAGAAAAGAAAAAGAACTGAAGCAAAATTTTATTTTCCCATTTAACTGAGTACCTGTTTTTAATGGGTGGAGTCAAGTTAAAACACAGAATTTCTCAGACAGACTGAATTCTTTATTTAATTTTCCAAAACCCTTGAGCTGTTCTGAAAATGTTTTGTCTTGTAGTAATTAAATAAAAATCAATCACTTCAATATCATTTCAAATGATACATGGAGCATACAGGGTTATTGTAAACACAGCAAAACATTACAACATCTGTTATTATTAATACTCTTTACTGTCTGCCAAGTTTATCCATGGTCCTGTCAAGTGAGGAAATCCTTCTGCTGATACAGGAATCAGATGATCAGAGTTAGGCTCACCAGGGAAGAGGAGACACAAGGGTTTTTGATGCATTTAAAGACAGTGCAAAGGTCTTGTTTATATTCTTCTTATCAAAGAGCAAGAGTGAAGGAGCTGCTGCCTGTGAATATGACCAAAAGGACCGACTGCCATATGAATTTCCTCACCAGTGTGTTGTGATCTCCTGGGTACCCTTAACGCTGGTGGATTTAATGTGGTGCACTGAAGATTTGCTCTCGATCCTCAGTGGCTTGTAAACAGAGGCGGCGTGTCCTGCATCACCCAAGTTCTGTCCATCAAAATGCCACAATCACACATATTTATTCCAGAGATAGCATTGTTCAAGTACACCCTCGATGGTGATGCCTCAGACAAGAAAAGTATTTTTACAGTGCTGAATACCAGGAAGTGACAGGAACCAAATAAGGAATCATAGCCAGGGTGTAAGATGAGACTGACAAGCTACTTGTATGTCAGTATACAGAAGGCAGGGCTAAAGCACACCATGCAAACATCTGCAGGAATGAACTGCAAGGTTTGAAACTTCATGTTTCTGAAGGCTTAAATATGTTTTCTGTAACATTGATAAAGATTAGGAGAACAAAAATGCCACTGAAATCTCCAGGAAAAATACATTCAACACACACACATATACAAAATTCCCACAATCTAAATCAGTTCAGACCTATCCCAGAGGGAGATCCTCATCCTTTCTGCCTATTTCCACCCCATTTGTTTTATGCCATCTCTTTCTAATACAACCAGGGAAACTGATCAAACACATTCTATACATACCACCCAGCCCACAGTCTCAGCATCCCAGCTGTATTCCTAACCTCACAAATCCACAGTGAAACCATCTCCAGGGTTTCAAAAGCATAGCAGCTTTCATGAAGGGAGGCAGTGGGAGCTCTCTTAATTAGCTCAGCTCCTTTGTGCATTTCTAGACACGTCTCCCTCTTTGTTCACCTTTAAGAGTTTAATGTCAGGGTAGAAGCAGAAGATTTGTCCTCCATAAAATAGTATCACATTCTTAAGGCTCTCCTTTTTTTCCTAGTAAAAGTTGTTACACACAGAAAAACAGTCAACATGGGGCCAAATATCTAAACAGAAAGAGGTGAATTTTAACCAGTCCTGGCATTTAATGAGGACTAAGAGAGGAAAAGCTGGAAATGCAGCCAGTCAGGTGAGCATTTCATTAACAAAAACTTCTTCACATGTTGTCCCTACAACTCTGCAAAGGAAAATTCAAACATGAAACCATCACTAATGTAATTTAATCCTTCCTGGAAGTACATGGAAATTAAATTCAGTCTTGATAGCTTAATTATTTGAATACTTCTTCTGGATATAAATCTTACCAACCTGACAGTCATTTCTAGGATGCAGGGAAGACAGCAGAACGGCAAATTTTCTCACCAGTACTTTCAAGTATAAGTTTATACAGAAAAGAGTTGAGGACAAAGCCATGGACAGATGGGTTCCAACTTTACTGTGTCCCTGATTTCATTATTCAAGGTTTGCAACAAGGAAATCACATGATCCCCCCAGAACATTTAGCTTGGGCTGAGAGGCCCTGGGACAACAAATCACTCAAAAATGTGTCCAAACAACACACAACGAGTTTTTCTAAGGAGATCCCACATAGATAAAGATAGGTAATTTAAATCATTACTACCATTCCTCTCTGGCTACTTAAAAAAAAGGTTTGAAAGCAGAGATTCCTCATTAAAATCTGCATGAATTCCAAAATGTGAATTAGTACATGGCTTAATAAGAGGTAGCAGTCAATTAAATTTCTTTTTAAAAAAAATTTGTATCTTCTGAGAATTGTTTTCTCTTACATGTTGCAATATTTCTATTACTTGGAGACTGAAATAGAAAAGTTAAATTCTCAGTATTGTCTAATTTTTATGCATTATCATGATAGCTTAAAAGAAAAATGAAAACATTGATGAAATTGAGAATTTTGAAGAAGCCAAAAAATTCACCTCCTCCTGAAAGTAAGATTACAAATATCAATTTGTCTCCAGAAGTTTACTTGTTGCTATGAAGAGTCTGTCCTTCCTACTAAGTAGGCTATAATTAAAGTATTTTGTACAAAACCACTTCAATATGAAGAAAAGTAAACTAATTCTTGTCTCAGAATAAAGATAAAAATAAATAAAGAATAAATAAAGGAAAAAAACCCCTAATTTCCTCAGTTCTACCTCTCCTTCAAACTTCCCTGGACTAGTAGTGGCAAAATATTTTGATCCATCTAACCAATATCCTCAACAATGTCCCCTTTGAAGACTTGCTTATGTCTCCTGATAATTAAAAAGCTTTTCTGCAAAAGAGGAGTCTAATTAAGGACTACCTACCTTTTCAGTACATGCACATATGTACATTGTGCACGTGTACATTGTTCATCTTACTGCATGTATGCCCTCTGTTTTTCAGTGTAGTCTATCTCCTTTCTCACAGACAGCAAAGTTTAAGGGGGTGGGTGTTACCTAAAATTACATTAGAAATTACATCAGCATTGCTTTAGAAATCTATATTAATAAACTACTTCAACGTCTGGAACAACTGTACAACTCTCACTGCAAGGCCTTTGGTATTTTATTTTTCCCACGTAAAATATGGTCTTAGTTTTATACAAAAACTTTGAACAAGAGTTACACTTAAATGTAACCTAATTTTCATACTGTACAAAATCCTACTGGTTTATAATTCTACCATTTCAAAAGAGATATTTTGGCTATTTGGAGTTTTAATGTCAGCAAATGACCTTAGCAACTACAAATACATATAGTTAATGTATATAGTTAGAACAAAGTGAAGTCTATATTACATATTCACACTTATTGAGCCCAAGGGCTCTGCTCATCCTCAAGATACCTATTTTTACAAATCAGTACCTTCACCCACATTTTTAATTCATTATAGTAAATATTCAGGTATTAGAAAGGTGCTGCATGGAACAGGATGAGCAAAGGTTCACAGGTCTATATCCACAGTCAAGTTTAGGCAACTAATCACATCTGCTCTGCCTGGATTCTGCCATTCATGGTAACTTAACACAGTCCCAAACCTCATCTCTCAACCACTCTGTTGGACAAAGGTCACAGACCTTGCGTTCACCACGGAAAAAAACAGGCTCCAGCTATTCATCCTTATTTCTTTTCCATGTAATATCTAACAGGTAGATATATTTAACAAAAATTGAAGGCATTAACACATTAGTCAATATACCAATATTGTTTGTTGATTAAGTTCTTGGGATTTTTTTCCCAGTCACAAAGTGATCAAACTAAATCTCAGGGTTTTCTTTTCCATTGCTTTACTTTCTCAGCTATTTTTTAAACAATAATTTGCTGTAGGTAATTGGGTAAAAGAAAAGGCTTCTGTAATTGTTATTTTTTTGGATGGTCTCTTTTACATATTCTTACTGTTTGAAAGAGACTGTGACCATCCCTTCTATTGAAGGGCTATACTCAAAGAAAACAATGAAAGACACAATTCTACAAGCACCATGTACGGACTTCTCTTTATTTGTCTGAATAGAGCTTGGTCTGCAGGATCCTGGAGGGTAATTTTATGACTTTTTGGACATAGCCTCACTGTCCTGACTAAGCACAGCAGATTGTGGGGCACTGTTCAGTTACATCTGTGCTAGCAGACAATGGCTCTGCTCCTGCTTCTAATGTAGTCCCTGAGAATTCTGCCATGAACTCATATTACTGTAATTCAGATGTGCTACTGAAATAAATGTGATGTATATTTTCCATGATATGATTACTGGATTCGGTTCTGGTCAATTAAAGCTGCCTGCCCAGGGCTATCAACAGGGTAATGATTAATGTCAATAAGCAACCCTTGCTCACATCTGCTGGCTGCCTATTAAAAAAACCCAAAACAAATAAACCAACATTAAAAATGGGCAGTGACATTAATTTGTTGCCTTCAGCCACGTTTAGACTAAGAATACCCAGCTGCATGGAGCTGAAGCACTGTGTCCATAAAGAAGCTGGCAGAGGGAGCATGTATTGCTAGGAAAGTGTCAGACCTGAATGACACTCTGAATGAAGCCCTGGTTCAAGGTGGAGAGTTCAGCTGCAGCACTGCCCACACCACCTGTGAAAGGCCATGCAGCAGCACTCTGCCACTTCGCAGGACAGACAAACTAGATGAAAGCTTCACAGCACAGCAAGAAGAGCCACAAAATGTAACAGAGATAAAAGTTTCTGTGTGTGTGTGTATGTGTGTGTGAGGACTTGAATGAATGCAATTACAGCAAAACACCCCCAGTGCCCCCCAGGACTGTGGGGTGTGTGCAGCGGCCAGGCCCTGAGTACCAGCCCCGCAGAGGACAGCATAAGAGCAGCTGGGCTGGATCCCTGCTATGGAGGGAGAAATTCAGAACAGAGAAACTCCCAGTGAGCTTCTTCTGGATCCCTGGCCCTCTCTGCTCTCCTTCCAGCTAGCACCTGATACACCCACATTGACCCTCCATGCCCCAGCAAGCATGAAAGATCTTCTCTGTTCCCATCCTAGCTGGGCTTTCATCCCATGGGTTACATATCCAAAACAAAGACACATCCTCACACTCCAGCTCTTCTCCTAGTTCATTCTCCCATGGTTTTAATGCCACCCTAGGGACTGGGCTAAGCAGTTCAGGGAGCAAAGATGGGCATCGCTCATGCTCCATTGTTTTGAAGCAGGAAATGGCTGCAGAAAAGCCTCTTCTCAGTGCACACAGGCTGATGACATGGGACTGGTGGGATCCCTTCTGGTCAGAATGTAACCCTCACTGGAACAATCAGCAATTTGGACATCCGAAAATTATTTCATTAAACAACAGTTGTTAATCAGTAGGAGGTCTTTTTCCACAGCCATTCTTTAAAGCCGAAACATTTCCATGTTTCCTGTAATACTTGTGCTTAGTCACACATTGACAAATACAAGGAAAAAAACTCAGATCTGTATGACAGATTTTTGGAACCGCCAAAATAATCTCTTTGAATTCTGAAGCCACTTGACAGCAGGAGTCCAAAGGAGAGTGTTGAAAGCAAAACCTTGTATTTAGTCACTGGAGTTTTTATTGCATTTTTCTCCCAGAGCAGGATACCTATCGTATTCTGCAAAAAATACATTATCAAATGAACAGTCCAAAGACCCCATTAAATTTTAAAATTTTCCAGGTCCACTTTTTGCTACCCATCCTGTAAGCCTGACAAAGAAAAAAGGGATTGTCCTTTACATTTCAGTGGGAATTTAACACAGTCAGCCAAAGGCTCTGCCAGAGGACATCTTCTGCAGAACATGCCACCATGTTGCAACTCGCATATTCACATGTGCAAAAAGTCTCTGGCTGAGTCTGCTCTTCCCTGCTGTAATACATCACAAGAAAAGAGATCCCTAGGTCAAAATTCCCTAAAATTTAAATATTTGAGAAGTATTAAGTACTCTAATTAAGAGTTACTGCTATTACTTTCTAAATGCCTGGAGAGGAAGGATTGTGCTGGTTGGGCTCAAGGTGACATTCTGAAGCATGGAAGGAACAAGCACTTCATCTCTAAGTAGATTTGTAGAGAAAGAGATAAGCATGGCTGTTTTCCAAGGGACTGGCTGTAGCACAGGGCTGGGACTGGGCATAAGCAGCTGAGAAGGGCCATGGCCTGCAGAGGATGGCAGCCCTGTGATCTGCTCTGCTGGTGGCATGAGCCTGAGAAACTGGGTTTGCTCCTTTGCCTCATATGACCAGCACCTATTGCTGGGGTCCTCACTCCTTGCACCAGGCAGTCATCCCGGAGCAGGAGGAGCAGGCTGGGCTCTCCCACAGTTCTCTGCCTCCTATTTCTACCTTCCTTCTCCCTCATCTCTTTTCAGGGCAAGCCCAGTCTTTCCACCACTCACCTCAGACCAGGCTGTCTGTGCTGTTGAAAACTTCGAGCATGGGATGCTTCAGTGTCTGCCTTGAGGGGAGAGCTTCAGTATGTGTCCCACAGCAGCCCAACATCAGCACCAGAGATCCAGAAAGGCCTGGAGCTTGGATATCCCCATGGTGTGTCCTGCTGGCCTGCCAAGGCAACATGTACACATCATTTACATCCACTACACATTACACTGCACATCCCACAGTGAGACTGCTGTTCAGAGGTGCTGTGCTGTCCCCATAACATGCCTGCATGTCCTTGGGGGCCCAATTCAAAGATGAGGGCTTTGCCAGCCAATGCTGAGAGTCAAAACTTCAGTGTGCCCTTGTGAATCTGTTCCTTAGGCCAACCCATGCCTAGCTGTGTAATACAAATAACATTTTTCACCTGAGAAAACATTTCTGCACCTTGGAGGCATACAGTAAATAAAAAGCACATTAAAATACTTAATGTGCTTAACTCTTTGTGTCTTTGGGGTCATTTTTCTATGATGGAGTTATAGGTGCTATACAGAAATGAGATTTCCTGCTGATCACCTTCACAGTGTACTCTCATGTGGCCTTCTTAAATGAAATTAAAAACAAGACTCTCCAACAAATACAGACTGAGAATTGAGACTTCACAAAGTCTCAGTCACTAAAATCACAAATAATCTCTCATGATAAAGACAGTGTTGGTGCTAAAAACTGTGTTTTAAATTAATTTTAGCCAGGTGAACACAGTGCTGGCCTCAAAGGAGTAAAGCCATGGAAAGAAATCTCCTGTAGAAGCAAATAACTAAATGTGCATGATGGGTGCAGCTGGGCACCACCAAGCTTTCATGGTGACCTCAGCAGGATGAGTAAATTCATCCAGCATTTTCCATGAAGCAGAGAACAATATTTTTCACTTCATAGCTTTCTTCTGAGGCTCCCAAGAGAGCAATTCTTTTTTCCAGGCTGCTTGAAACTGCCATAGAGCTTCCCCCCAAAACCTTGTAACTCCTGCTTTATCAATACAAAAAAAGGAAGGAAACATGAAATGTACAGAGTGATACGTTCAACACTTTTTCTTCGTAACTAAAAATGTGGGAAATATGTGGTGGTGGTAGTAGAAAGAGGTGAAAACACATCAGTGTGGCAAGGTGACGTGTCTTTGCAAGCCTCCTGCCTCTCACTCCTCACGCCCCACTTCCATGGGCACAGCCAGCCATCAACATGGGTGCAACAGCAGCAGCTGATGCAGATTCCCCAGCACGCTCCATTATGTCTTCTGGTGGTTTCTCCTGATGCAGACCCCTTTGATCAGTGATACAGGGAAGATTAGATCTGAGCTGATAAACAGCTCACTGTGGGACAAGGCACATGTGGCTCCTGCCATTCGGTGTTGCCATGTTCCGTGTCCATGGGGATACTGCATGTACATAAGAGCGGCCATGCTGAGCTCCCATGATGCACAAAACTCACGTACTGAATTTTCCCTCTTTGCCTCCAGCCATCCCTGTTCTGCTTCTTGCTAAGTCAATTAATATCTACCACACTAGCAGTAAAGGGCCCTTGGGAAAAAGGAAACCAGGGAGTAGGCTGGTTGTTCCTGATCTAGGCGTGCTCTCTGCCAATACAGCATATTTTCTAGAGTGTTTTTTACAATTCGGTTGAAATGACTCAGCTAAGGGGTTTTGTATAACTTCTGACCACAGCCTAACAGCTCTCACAGGAGGTAATATTTCCTAGTGTTTGGCATGAACGTTCCTCCTTTTCATCTGAGCACTTGTGCTCCTTCAGCAATCCTTACCCACTTCTATCCTTTCTTCATGCTTACAAGCTACAACTATGTAAGGGGTTACCGGATCCTTCAACTTCCACAAAGCCCGTCAACTTGCGGCACTGTATACTACATTCATTACTGTTATGAAAGTATTTAGACAGACAGGCTTTATCTAGCTGTCCTAATCTTTCCCATAAACCAGTCTTTTAGGTCCAACAGTGGGTCATTTTATGAGAATTCCCTCCTGTTTGTCAACAGCAATCTGGAACGTTCTGATCTTTGAATCACTGGATTGTCGCAGCGCTGACAAGGTGTGACCATTTTCTTTTTATAAGTAATCAACTGCTCATTTGTTGCATGTTGCTACTGTACTTAATTCTACCTCTGTTTTTTTCCCAGTTTCATTATACTCTCTGTATTACAATGTTGTGGTAAGCTGCACCAGACACAATTGGATTCCTTAGTCTGTCAGCAGCAAAGGTAATTGACATAAATATTTAAAGCACAGCAAACTGTGATATATGAAACAATTAAAACCCTTTTAGAAGCATCCTCTCTCTAACCTAGTCTCCTGGTAAGATGGATTTAAGTGGCTGCAAAGCAACCAAACCAAAATATTGCCTTTCATTTCTATCAATAGGAAATATTCCCTCTCTCTGCTCCACATTCTTGCTCCTCACAGAGTGAGTAGATATTTGATTAGGTGCAGATTTAAACACAAAAAGATTTTCCAAGCCTTGGATCCAGTTCCAAGCAATTACACATTGGCTGGGTGTAACTCAATGCAGGATCACCCAACTGGAGAGCAAAACAGAGAAAGCTTTTTAAAAAGAAAAGAAAATTATTCCAAGTGTTCCACCTCACACAGAATTCTTGAAAAATGTGCTTCTCCCCAGAGGCCTGGGGTTGTTTGTCTCATTCGAGGGCAAAGAACAGTATTTTCCTGTTCTTTGTAGACTGGCCAAGAAGGCTCAAGACGCAGGTTGAATGAAGAGCTATCCTGAGCTGACACCAGATTTTCATGGGAACTCCTGAAGGCTGCACCTGTGCCATCTAATACCTCTGTCTGCTGGGCACTGGACCCATGTGTATCATCTCAGCTGCAGTTAGCAGGATGTACTCACCTGTCTGCTCTCCAGCAGCACTGGCAGCAAAACATCTTGGCAATCAGGGCAAGAAGTCTCAGTCATGTGCCTCTGTCTGCCCCCAAAGCAGCCTTTCTAAGAGGGAATACAGTTCTTAAGACTGGTAGTCTTCTGGTGATACAGCAATGCTGTCTCTGAGGAGCTTACCTGGAGACACTAAGAGCTGCTACGGGTCCTCTGGGTCTCAGATAATCAAGATTAAATGGGATTTTTTTTAAACACTAAAACCAAGTCTAGAACAAGAAACTAGCTCAGACTAGATGACACCAAGTGGTCACAACAAAATTTACATTTATTATTACTGGAATATTTTGCAAAATTTTCACCCTTTGAACTGCAGTTTTGCAGCATTGCCATTTGAACAATTTTATTTATTATGTGGGAGCCACTAAGTCTGGATATTTTGAGCCTAGGAAGAGCACTCAATCTGTTAAAAAGTACAAGGGAAAGTTCAACATGAATTGCTACCATAATTAAAAGCTGACTTACTGTATATTAACAAGATACAGATTTTAAAGCACTAGTTATTCAGTTAATTAGTGGTTAATAAGTGATTAATAGCTAGACTACGTGATAATGCTAATACAGAAATCAATGAAAATGTTCCAATTACCAGGTGGTAGTACCAGAGGTCTTTGTATAAGGCATTATGTAGTCTTCTCAAACCTATTGAAGTATAAAATAGCAGCAGATCGGTTAACATCATTACTTCAGAACAAGTGTTAATCATACCCTATGCTCTAAGGCTCATAATATCTCTCTCACAAGAGGTATTTGAACATATCTTTACTGTAAAACATGCTTATTGATGTAGGAAAAGAGATGTCAGTGGTGCATTTTCTCATCCATTACAATTTTGTATGTGATATAGGTTTATATGAGCAAGTACTAAAGCATATTTTTAAAAGTTAGTAATCTGCTGGAATGTGCTCTGTTAGGATGTTTTCTTTTCTTTCTTAGATGACTCTGTAAAATACTTGCCTAGTCATTTTGCCAGCAAACATGAAACCCCAGCAAAATATCAGAAGTCCAGCCAACCCAAGAATGAAAAACTGTCTACACCGAAAATTAACTCAACAGGTTCTCCCACTGTTTTTGAAGGGCTTAAATTTTTCCCAACTGAAGAGTCTTAACCTCTTCAGGCACACATTGAACAGGGAATGGGTGTGATAGGAAAGCAAACGCTCTCCATACCCACAGGGAAGGAAGGGGAAGGTGAGAAACAGCTGTGTGGACAAAGGTGTGTTGTGGACGTGTGTACTTTGTACTACCCCTGACCCAAGCAATGAAATTCTGTTGTACTTCTACACTGAGTTAACATCCCTCTAAATATTTCCTGTATTGACTCTGATACCTGCACAAAGAATGTTTTGAATTGAAAAACTGTGACTTGAACAAGAAGGCAAGGACAGCATGATACACACAAAGGAGGGCAACCAGTGCCAACCCCGTTTTTTCCTTCTGACTGGGCTAAATGGCCTGTCTCTGACACGACAGCATATGGCTACACCAGGAAGATTTATTCCCCTGTGCAGGCCTGATCAGTAAGTGCACAGCCATTTCACCAGATGAGCTACCATGGCCACTTTACAGACTTGCTATTCTAAAAATACTGTGCCTTTCTGCTAATTGGAATGCACCCCTCTTTCTCACAATTCACTTTGCTTTGGCTGTATTTCCTGATCTCTTCAGATTGCTTTCTTTCATGCTCATGCCCTATCTGCTGTTGCCAGATCTTCTAAATTTTAAATAAATTTATATGCTCTATTTAGCATCAGTCTTGTAGTCTCCTTACTTCCCATTTAAGATCAATACAGAAGAAATCAATGGGCTAAACAACAATTCCCTCAGACACTCCTCTCTAGACTGTAATGCATTGCTGGCACCTGGTCTTTATAGCAGGTCTGCTAGCTGTCTTTCTTTACTGCAGTGCTTTTATATGAGATCATTTTAGTTAGAAGAATGTTAAAATTCCTGGGGAAATACTGCGTGAGAGAGTGGTCCTGGAAATCCATGTGTTACTTGTGCTGTTATATTTTACAGTATGAAACAAATAAGAGGCTGTTTTGTTAGTAGCACACATGATGGACTTCAGATGATGCCATGAACTTATAGAACACAAGGATTACTTTCTGTAACCACAGCAAAAATCTTACTCTATGCAAAACTGTGCCCTGAGCCCCTGAGCTCTGCAGGGTACCTGGTTTCAGAAGCAGAGCATACAAGTGACACAAGTGACACTCACCCATTGT